CGAAGACAGCAAAACCATTTTTTCCGGGATAACAAGCGCCGCCTGGAAGAGCTGGAACGAAACGCGCAAGTTCTACGAGAAACTCAACGCATCCCGCAAAGGCTTTGTGCCGCGAGCCGGAATGTGTCGGGATAAGGAAGGAGATATCTTGACGGACGAACGTGAGGTGATTGAAAGGTGGAAGCAGCACTACGATGTACATCTGAATGGCGCAGAGGCAGAGGGCCAAGGCAGCAGGAGGAATGTATTCATCGGTACAGCGGATTGACCAGTGCACGGAATGAACTCAGAATAAAAATTGACGTCTGAGGGTAAATTGTGCTCTTCCCGATAGTGCTGTTTACAAAAGTTGATAGGGCCTTTTCCAAAGTTACGCGAGCATTGCGTCATGTGTTTATTTTTGTACACATGGCACCGCTCAAACGTCAATTTTTTTCATAATTTTATTCCGTGCAGTGGTCAATATTGACCTGAACACGATAATTTCAGGGCCGGATTTGAGGAGGGGCAATGTAAGCAAAGGGGCAACCAGCCCCATATTATCATATTTTTACTGCTAGAGCAAACTATTTAAATTTTACTTTCATAAGATTTAGTTCTGAACTTCTGATATAATTTTATGAGATGATCTGCCAATACCTCTGAGCCTGTTGGTCACCAATTGTTGAGTTGAGGTAGAAGTGAATCAGCAAATTGAACGAAATTAGCAATAATTAATTGCGAATTAAGGTCATTGAGGACATCGATGACTAATGAATGGCTATTATCGGCCCCTGTGGTGTAGTGGTAAGCAGTTCGCAAGATAAATTGAAGAAATCTTAAGCTATTTGATTAGAAAAGTTAATGAAAACTGCATTTCAACGCATTGTCCAAAGAAGATCCTCCAATCAACCTATGGACTACTACTAACAATCAATACGAAACTAACGATTTTAAATTGGCTCACTGATTGACTACACAGATAAAAATTCTGAATTTTAATTGTGATGTAGACATTCATTCACGTAAACTTGTATTTCATCCCACGCAACCGAGCAACTTGCAAACAATGTTGTTAACAAAGATGGGATTTTGTATACAATATTTGCTACATTGCATGAAATGTGTCAGAACTTTACATGATATATAATGTAAACGTATATGATATGTGACGCTCCATTTATGTGCATCATATCGAACAGAAATTTACACTACTTTTTCGAACTGTGTAGCCTATTGGTTCCAAGCAAATCGATTAACGTATCCCATTCTAGTATAAATTCCAGTACTACACTATGTTTATTTTGATTCGCTATGAAAGTTTGACAGATAAAATAAGGGGTTCGTGGATTTTCCAATGTTTCGAGGGTTGCATCGATTAGCTTGGGACCGGAGATAACGCCAGAGCTGAGCTCGTTTCTTCTTTTTGGCTCAGCTCTGGTACTATCTTCGGTCCCAAACTAATCGATACACCCCTCAAAGCATAGGAAAATCCACGAACCCCTCATTTTATTTGTCAAACTTTCATAGCGAATCAAAACAAACATTTCGTAGCACTAGAATGTTTACTATAATGGGGTACGTTAATCGATTTGCTTGGGACCAATAGGCTAGTCAAGTAGTGAGCCAATTTTAAATTGTTAGTTTCCACCGGTTGCAACTACACTACTTCATTTCATGAGGACACCCGTCTCCACAATTATTTCGTAGATTGTAGGGTTACATGTGGTGCCAGTATAGCCTGAGTGATACAATTGATAATCCAGCGGATCGGGTCGAATGCATCAAACAGTTCGATCCGTCTTCAACCGAGGCTTCGAAGAATAATAGTTATTATCCGGTTGTAATTTGTTTCGTAGTCTACGTTTGAATTACGGAATTGTTGATGTGTTTATGGTATGTATCCACATTAATCCGGACACCTTCAAATCACTGTAACTTTTGAAATATTGTACGTAGGAGTTCAAATTTTCACTGAAGTATAGCTAGAAGTCATTGATGAAATAGACTACGATTGGTGTTTACATTCCATGTTTAGTGTTCAAGATGGCGACGGATGAAAAACACGTACGCGAGCGGATTTTGTATAAATCCTGATTTTTCAATAACGGCGACTTGCAAAAAAATTGGATTTACCTAAATCCACTGCTCACGGTGTGCTCAAATCATTTTCGAAACGTTTGACGGTCGAGAGGAAACCGAGAAGTGATAAAAACATTGGACGTGCTGATCCTGTCATGTACCGAAAGGAATGTCACCTGGTTTTGTCCAAAACTCAAAACAGCGTTCGAGGCTGAAGTCATATACAGTAAAAACAGTTCCAAATCGCAACGACAAACAGAATTTGACAGCCAAATCACGGGTTCGACGTTTGTTTTTCGAAAATTTGATGAAGTTTTCATGTGTTGTTATGGACGATAAAACTTCTGTCGTGGAAGATTTCCAGCAGCTTCCAGAGCTGGTTTTCTATTCTGCTATGGCCGAAAATGCTACCGCTGAGTATTTCAGGACGAAGAAGGCATCGAAATTCTCCAAAAAGTACCTTGTTTGGCAAGAAATTTGCACGTGTGCCCGAAAGAGTAAATCGTTCGTCACTACATGCACAATCAACAAAGAGATTTTTCGGAAAGAGTGCCTGCGGAAGCGATTGCTACCCTTCATCAAAAGCTACAAAGAAAACCCGATTCGGCATCATGCCATTATGCTAAAACTGTGATGGAGTGGTACGAAGCAAATCAAGTGAATATTGTTTCAACAACCGCAAATCCGTCAAATTTTCCAAAGTCCAATCGTCCAAACGTCCAATCGAGAGATATTGAATGAAGCGAAACCTTTCTGGAAAGAAACAAGGAATCAAAGATATCAAACATTTCCAACAAATTTGGACAAAGACGGCCACCACGGTATCTGAGGAGCCTGTACAAACCCAAATGGATGGAGTTAAGTGCAAAGTTCGAATACTTTATCCAAATACCGAATAACTATGTTTTGACTTCGTCAATTCGTCGATCAAACCGAGGGGGACGACTCTATCTACGATGCAGAAAAGATTGTGTTTTGCTGTGGCTAGCTGCGCGCACGCTGAGTAGATAGAAAGAGGATTGATGACTATTCTGAAGATTTCCTGCAAAAAGATGATGCGCGATGCAAGTCGATGCGACAAATGAAAGAAGATGTTTCGAAGATTGATTCGCTAGCGTTAGATATTTAGATGTGTCGCCCCCTCGGATCAAACACGGTACCACAACTACAAACTCCGTTTCACCGACGGCTTCAAGGCAGGAGGCAGGGTCGGCTTTGGAGTAAATGATGGACAGACCTCACACTTCTGGAGACTCCCTGATCAATGCTCGGTCTTCTCGGCCGAGACTGCAGCCCTCCATTACGCAGCTTCCCTACCATCCTCCTCTCCGCTATGTGTACTAACCGACTCTGCTAGCGCCCTCGCGGCACTAGAATCCGCCACCATCCACCAACCCTGGATTCAGGCCATACAAAACCACACCCCCCCTGGCACCACTTTCATGTGAATACCGGCACACTGCGGAATTGCCGGAAACATAGAAGCAGACCACCTCGCAGCCATTGGACGAAATGGCCGACTCGCCAACACTTCGGTCCCCAGACAGGACCTGAAAATTTGGATCAAGTTAACCCTCAGGACGGCATGGGACCGCGAATGGTTCGCCAGGAGAGACCTCTTCATCCGGAGGGGTAACCCTTCCCTGGACGGATGTCCCAAGGTTTAACAACCAGAGATTCCTGTCCCGGTTAAAAACCGGCCACACCCGCATCACCCACAACGTGGGGAGCAGCAGTGGCAAAATTCTGAGAGTCGTCGGCCAGAACTCAGATCAGTTTGCTCGGCTGGTTCTTTGTCCAACCCTATAGCAGAATCCACTTCCAAGGATGTCCAAACCATTCAACTTCCTTCCCAATGTTCGATCCCAAAAATTTCCCGAATTCGATTTAATAGCTTAAGAATTCAATTCTGATTCACTAAATTGAAACTAAATTTATTGTGTTTAAAAGTAATCGACACCCGTTTTATTTCTCATGCAATAAAATCATTAATTTATATTATATTTGATTTCCAACGTCTACTTTAGTGGGATCAACTTTGCATGGTAATTAATGAAAAAAACATTTCCCTTTTCGTACTTCCTCCTGATTTTTGACGTGCTATTGTTGATTACTTATTCTGACGCTAAATGGCGTGTCAAACAACATGTTCTTGCTGTTTTGTGATGTGTTGGAAAATTGGTAAACATGGGTTATATGAATAAAAGAGTTTACTTTCCCCTAGAAAAAAAGCACGGGAGACTTTACTTTACTTTTCTTATTCATACGGCCCAATAAGTCGGCCGAAAACACTACATCTCGCAAATACCCAAAGCCGGCAGCCTTTCCCCGAAATAACTCCTATCCTGCGATGACACTTTCCCAAACCGACGACACCCACACCAACGAGGTCACCATGTCAACAGCGTCCTTCTCTCAACAGCTGCTGCCGCTCTCGCGCGAATATACATCGCAATTTTCCCTCCATTCACACCAGCAGCAGCACATCAACTCAACCAAGCATCGAATGTAAACAAACAAACCAATTTTCCCACTGCCCACAAACATTTTCCTCCCACCCGACATAGCAACACGTGTGCATCTGTGTGGGTGTTGACGGAGAAAAACTCTCTCTCTCTCGAAGAACCGTTCGCACCGACACACCGACCAACACAAGGCTCGTCGAGCGAGCGAGCGAGCGCGTGTGAGAAATGCGTTTCGAGTTTTCCAAAAAAGAACCAGACGAGTTTTGGCTGCGCTTTGGGAAAACATCTACCCCCGTCAGTGTCCACCCCCACGGACGACGTGACCCGGCTCGAGCGTTTTGTGTGTCTCAATGAGCTCTCGGCGGCGGTGGGCGTGAGTGTGAGTGACGACGACCATCCAACAGCAGCAGCAATGATAGAATGAAGAGCTGAAGCGAATTTGTCGACCGACCGTGTGCCATCAGTTCAGTAGATACAGGTTCGGGTCGGGTGCAGCTACATACCGAGAGTCTTCCGTGGAAGTTGGCAGAAAAAGTGTGCTTGAAGGAAAATTTCCAACTGGGATAAATGGTTGCGGGTGGAATTGGTTGAAAACGAATGGTCGCTTCGCTCGCTCGGAAATTACTGTCCGATTAGTGCCGTTTGTGATTTCCCACAGAGAGTGATACATCATAGAGAGATTGGAATTTAAATTGCAAAATGGATTCCAGCAGAATCCATAGGGTGCCGATGTAGGCGAAGTAATTGTGTAATAGGCTGGTTGCATTTAGGGAATAAGAGGGCGCTGGGCGAGTGAGGGTTCTCTTCCAGTGAAGTGTGAATATTGGCCGGACAAGCCACCGAACCGTCCTCAAGCGCAAGAATAGGCGAAAATTTTAATATCACCGAACCCAACCCCGAACGTGAGGTAGCATTTTTCAAACCAATTCCTTCGAAGAAGGGCGGTGAATGTAGCCAACCGACGAAAAATGCGTGCCTATTTCACGCCTGGAGGAAAGTGAAAAATCACAGTGGAAAATATTGATGGTTTCTGGTGAAGAGAGGACGACGAAGCGACAGTAGGTGATGCCCACGAACAGCATAAATGCAACATATGGAAGGGAAAATAGATCACCAATATCAGCAGCAACATCATCAACTTCAGTGGGTGGCAGGCGAAGCGAACGAGGAAGAAACGTCGTCGCAGCAGACGAGTGGTGAAGGAAGTTCCCATTGCCGATAGAGCAAAGGTTATGGTGCGGGAAAATTAAAGCTGCTGAGTGTTAATTACGGAAATTGTTACGAATCATCGCCCGGAGGAAAGAGCTGCCAAGGTAGGTTAAATGTAATAAAAGGGATTCTTTTTTTTTTTGTTAAGTGCAGTCAGCTATTTCTATTACGATATTAAAGGGATCGAATGGACTAAGAGCTGCACTCAAGTTGGTGTTATTTGAAGCAATTATTAATTAAGAACTAGCTCCATCATATTCTTTGCTCAGAGAAGACAAGGAAGTCTCCAATCCAAAAAAATCAAATCAATACCCGATTGGGAACTGAACTCGTTACCTTCCACTTGTCAATACTGATTAGACTATCTGTAGCCCTTTTATGCTATTGACAATCGACACTACCTACACTGATTGCCAATTGTATCTTATGGTGAGCTTGTGTAATGGATTAAATAACTTCCTATTGGTTTTGTGATAATTTCTTATCGTTTTACAGATACATTAGAGTGGTTCTATCGTGGTTCATATATGGGAATTACTATGGGAAAAGTTTAACTGGTTGTTCTCATCATTCCAGCCCTTTGCTGTAATCAAGAGCAAATTTTCATTACGTCGAATGTAACAAAGGTAAACAAAGTCGAGCTAGCAGTGTCAATCGATTCTATTACACTATATACTGTCCGAATATAGGATCAAATCCCATTTTTAAATTTATTTACCAGTCAAATTGCTTTTTGACGTAATCACCTTCCGATCAAAATAGTTTTCGATGTTACTTAAGTCACCCAATTTCTATGGAGATGCCGTTTGACTTAAGTAACAGCGCTGAGAAACCCATGAAAAGTGTACGTTCGTCGTTTCGCTTTCTCATTATTAAAGTGAATAAATCGAACTGTTTGTTGCTAAGATGATTTCGATGGTCCTAAAATGATGAATGGGCTGCACGTAAGGAGACGTAATTGATAATTCTCCCGAATATCCTGGTAAATACACTTTGACTTAAGTAACAATAGGGGCCACCAAACGACGTATAATAACTTTTGACTCAAAAACCAGTATTTTTTAGCATGAAAGCTAGCGATTTGCATTTGTATGATTAAAACCCTGCTAAATATGTTAAACATTGCTATCACTATGAGATTATATGTGTTTACTTGGAAATAGGAATAAGTTTTCGGTCATCAAAACAAAACTTTATTTTTCTCGGATTGGTGCGAATGTTACTTACGACATAATGAAAATTTGCTCTTGTAATCATCTACGGAGTAGTTTTCTATCTATAATAATGTGAAATTTTAATTTTAATTGAACGTCAGAATAATTAGTTAGTAATTGATTAGGAAGAAGATATTCTTCTGGCATGCTCCATGAACTGCTCAGCAGGCAACATTGGTGTGCTTCTATGTCGTAAGTGCAAGATGTAGTGTTGCCCTGAAAGCAGTCGAATATCAGCTTCGAAATAAATTCATAACCAATTACCATGAAGGGTATTCAAAAAGTGGTTCTGTCTGAGCAAAGCTGTAGCTGGAAAAATTTCGTATAAGAGCATACAGCAAGCTTTTCCGTAAATTATCATGGTGAAGTGCTAAAAAAAAGGTCACTTTTCCCATAGTAATTCCCAAATAAACTTCAAAGAATCAGTGCAGTATGAGTTCTCTTCCAGGACCTGATTTAGAATCGATTGAGCCTGGTGGAGTAATATCGATAGTTTGAACCACCCTAATACGCATATTGCGTTCACCACTTATAGACTTGCTCAGTGTTAATTCAAGCACTCAAAAAATCAGGAAGTTACTCAACCCACTTCAAAACCTCTTCATAAGCCGTTAAGAGGTTCAATTTAATATTAGGAATTGGATCATGCGACACTGCATCTAGCACTATAGACGCAATGCACGGATGGATTTGAGTTCACTCACTCGACAAAAGTGACACAACAGCGGAGCCCTGTTTACCAAAAACGAACACATGAATAATACTCGCAACATTTGAAACGGGCCACTGATGCCATTTTTTTTTCAGTAGATGAACAAAATTTCACCCGTGCACTCATCTATAGTTCACCTGTTTCCACTCGACTGCACCGATGGATTTGAGGATTTGACAGGAGAGCGATTATTAATGTTCATTAATAATGCTCCGATCTACTGTCAAATTTTCATCAGTGCATGAACTCAAATTCATCGGTGCACTTATCCATGGCATAATTAGGTACTGCAGCGTGACGTCATAAATGAACTCTGTGTTAATCGGCTGAACCTTTTTGACATTTCAGTGGTACTGTTTACAAGCACTTAGTCGTTTTTTCGAAAAAAAAATTTCTAAAATTTCTGAATTTTAACTTGAAAATTGTCGAGGAACAGCGCGTTGCAAGGATGTTGCTCGCAAACATTGCAGAAATGCTGTTTACATCTCACTGCAGTCTGAAAAATTATCGAGAAAATCCACCCAAGAAAAAATCGACTAAGTCCACGTAAACAGTACCACTGAACTGTCATCAGATTGAGGTTAACCCCGACGGTGCAAAACCTAATAGCCTGGATTTTTGTTTCCCCTACCGTATGCGTGATAATGTTTGCACCATTGAGCAATGTCAATGTCAGAGTCTTAAACTATGTTAATCATCGATCGAGTTTCCACTTGCTGCAATTACGGCCTCCACACGCTTCCGGAATGCACGGCAGGTTCTAATAATGTAGTCTAAATCCACTTCTCTCCAGGTCAACGTTTGTCTGAGGATTACTGTACTCGGTGGCGTTTAGAACAGGCTTTGGCCTTCATGACGCGCCATATTGAGTGATCCAGCGGATTAAGATCGGGGCTGGATGGCGGCCACATATCCTCGCCCAGAACGGAAGATGTTCCTTCAACCACTTCTGAGTGCGGTTCGAGGTGTGGCACGGAGCCCCATCTTGTTGAAATACAACATTTGGCTTCGGACCGTACTGTTCTTTGATCCACAGAAGAACATACTTACTTAAAATCCGTGTTGACCTTGTCGCCTTCTGGAATGAACACCGGGTCAATTTTTTTGCCATCGGAAGCCACCAATCCAAACACCATAACGCTAGCAGGATACTTGGTCAGATACACTTTTTTGTGCTCGTCGGTCACGTCTTTTACCGGAAGAGAACTAATATACCGGTCGGTTCTGGAATTTTATACGGGATGACGGTAAACATACTCTCGTCGGTGAACAGGATTACCGGATTTTTTCGCTTAAGGTAGTTCAAGATTTTCTTGCATCGTTCGACTCGTAGCTCCCGGATGCGTTACCAGCCGCATGAAATTTTTTTCCGTGCCCTCGACTTCGCCCCGCAGTCTTCCTTTACCATCTTCCATGCCGTAAAGTCACTGATCCCGTGTTCCTCGGCCATTTTCCTTATTGAACGCACTGGATTCACCCGAATCTTCCTTTTGATAGCAGCGATAACCCTCGGAACCCGAGCTGACCTCGGACGACCTGTGGCCACCTTCGCGGATAGTTTTCCTTTCTTTTCTCGGTCTAAAACCCTATTGACGGTCCACCGGGACACTCCCACGGCGATTTAAATGTCTTTTTGCGACATTTGCGCGTGGGAAAAATCACGAATACGCTGCCACTTCGTCATGGTGCAACTGTCAAACTAAGTAAATCATTTTCTTTTATACACAGCCTACTACGGTATGAGCTATAGGTTAGGTGCATGCAAAGAAAACCAAGGCATTGTATGCACAGGTGAAACGGGAACCTTATTTGTACGAAGGTGCAAACATTATCACGCATACGGTACACGGTAACCGCAAAATACCCAATAATGATTACAAAGTAAGTATTTTTGAAAAAAACTGGGACAACCAATTAAATGAGTAAAATTTTACCTATTTATGAGTAATTACACCTACAAAAATAAAAAGTTATTATTCTTTTATGAACATGAGCATGATTGACTGCCCACGGTTGCTACTCTGCTGTTGCCAGACCAGCTGTAATTACACAGAGAACCAATAGACGATGCTTGGGACTAGCAATCATCCTCAATGTGTAAAAACTGGCGATCTCAAACTAGGCAATACCAGCAACGACCGCGCACGAACACGAGCAAGAAAGGAAGGGGTAGGAATGTGTTGACGGACACTCGCTTTGATGGAAGCCGAGAGCACCTCTGCACTTCCACGAGGAATCACTGGGATATTGGGTAATATGGTTGGATTTGCAGCAGGGTTCGTTTTAGTGAACGATAAGCTGAATTGATGTCCTAACGATCATATAACGCAAAGGAGCTTGGGATTGAACCCACGGTCTTCTGCTCAGTAAGCAAAAACGTTTGCCACTAGGCAGACCCCAACAAACAATTTAAATTGATCATTTTTAGCTGAAGAAGCGTATTTTTGTCTGAATAAGCTCTTATTCAACATGCAATGTTTTTTGGGACGAGCTCCTTTTTAATCATCGAGTTGCTGTTATTATCATGTAGTCATGTTAACAAATAAAACGTTTGACGAATCTTGAATGTGGATGGGCTTGAGATAAGACTCATGATGTTCTGCTCAGTAAGCAAAAACGGTTGCTCTAAGGCCACCGAGCCCCTCATATCACATTATACCGTTACTCAAGTTGTTAAAACTATTAAAACCCGGCACCGACGACAACGAAAAGTTTTACAAAATACACGATAAACAAGCTATCTTACCATACGTTTTGACGTAGGACTACGTCTGTGATTTCTATATGGGGGTACACATTGTGAAAACCGAAAATGGAACATGTAACAAAATTATCAATGATTTCGAACGTTAATAACTCAGCTGCCCCTGGACCAATTTCAGTAATGTTATCACCAATTGATCAGAAATATTTCTACGCATGAGCACATGAGCATGCATAAAAGGAGGTAGAAGCCGGGAGATTAATAGTACTAAACTGTCTATTTTAAGATGGGTTGACTGAAAATTCAATTGGATTTAACGTAAGCATTCTTTATTAAAAAGTAATGAAAAAGTCCCAAAAGGGCGATCCATCAGTGCTTCCTTGGGGTACTCCGGATCAGGGCTGGCAAATGTAATTTTCAATGAAAGATCTCACGTGTTATTTACAGAGATACTTCTGTCACTATCATCGGATG